TATAATATTTTACGGTGTATTACGGTATATTATTATTATAGGCGATAAGTCATCAATACATAATTCAAAATTACAGTAAAAATACAAATTTGGAAGAATAATTTCTTTTCGAGTTTTCCGTCACCGTAGGAGCTTATGTGCTCTGACCTATAAGTATAACCTGAATATATTATTATTATTAAAATACTCATTGTAATATACTCACTATAATTATTATTAAACACTGAAGTATCTCAACGCATATTATTTTATCCGTCCGTTACTGTTATTATTAAGTCATTTACCGAGTATAGCCGATAGCGTTATAATAACATAGGTTTATGTATACCATTTATATGTTGGCTGGTGGTAATTATTAAAAAATGTAATGGTTTTATTTAGCAAAATTACACACTGTCGAATGTAACATTAGTAGCATATTATAATACCTACAGACCTACTATATTATACCGAATACTGCACTAAATTATGTATACAAGGTGAATTTTTTAACGGCAACCACTCGCTATTTCGGAAAAAATCGGTATTCTCTCTAGAAAGTTTGTGTCGGACATTTTTAAATGCACTCAGTTATAATGCATAACACCTTATATCGATGACTTTAAAAATAAAGCAACATAATATAGATTTAGATCGATATTTTCACAAAATTCATTCGTAATTCTAGTAATTATAGATATACATTATTCCAGTGAGGGGTACCTTCCCCTTGTTCTGCCGAACATTACAATTATCATTTAAGTCCAGAACCACTTTTTTTCAAAGGTATAATGTAGTCTATTTGGATGTTGACACATATTTTGAATGCGTAAAATATACAATATGCTCCGACCACTTCGTAAAATTTAGTCGCGGTGACAACAGCGATTAGTGTCTACATAATAGGTATGGTACGTGATAAGAGCGTAGCAGTAGGTACTTTGTCGTGACTAAATCCGCTCTCCGTTTGTATGATCGACGTTGACCAGCATCCGTCGCCGTCCATCGTTCCAGCATCTTCCGTCGTTCCATGTGTCCAACTCCTATAGAAGTAGGTACGCCGAAGCTGAGACCCATCTACCCGTGGAGCTGTCAACAACAAACACAACCTGACGCACTAGGTTAGGTATCGTCGGAGCAAGTGTGTTGTCAGTCAATTGACCAGTGGCGTAGCCAGGGGGGAGGCTGAGGGGGCTGCAGCCCCCCCCCCCGAAATGTTAATAAAATTTAAAAATTATTTTAATGGTCTATGGTATTCAATCAAAAATTAAACCACCGCTGTGTAAAAAATTGATCAGCCCCACCCCCGAAAAAAAATCCTGGCTACGCCACTGCAATTGACGTCCTACGGGCATCGTAAGCGAGTAGTAGTACTATGTGGAACACTGAAACTTTACAAGTGGTGTCACTCCAAGAAGCACAACTTTATAAGCACACCACCACTGTAATCTGCCCCCGTAAACCTGACGATACACGAAATCCATTACAGGATCAAAAACTATTACTGTCCCTATCAGTTTTATGTTCATCCTCAATATTTTTTGTTGTTAACTCAGCAGAGTAAAAATATTATAAAAAGAAAATAATGTATTAAAAACTTGTAAAATATAGGTAGAATACAATAAAATAAAACTAACAAAACTAAGACCAGAATGAAAACAAGAGTTACATTTCGTTACAAAGGTATGCTCATTAAAATTAAAACAATCTGGTCCAACACGATGGAATTCAGTGTACTTCATGTTAGATAGATTTATCAATTGTATCGACTATATAGCATCTACTATTGTGAAGTTCTCTAGAGCTCCACTTGGGTTATCTGTTTCTGAGTTATTTAGTACCAAATAACTTACGAATTTACTTAAACCTCTTGAAGCTGCTACAAAAGAGTTATGTGGAAAAAATTATGTTACGGGAAACAAAGTCATTCCATTAATTCATCGTCTTAACAAAAAAATGAGGCCATTGAAATTAGCAGTATCATTGCTTTACATCTTAAGAATACTTTGGTTTATAATTTAAAATCCCGGTTTGGTAGGATTGAATAATTAGAAATTCTTTTCGATTCTCGTTTCAAGACCCTTCATTCAAATGACCCTACTGTTTCTTCCAGAGTTATCAATGCAACAAAAAAAAAAAATTTAATATTCGAATTGAAAATATTGAAACTAGTTCTAACACAGACAATTCCTCTTCTGATGAAAATGATTCCTATAATTTATGGTCAGTTCATAATGAGTTAGTTTCTCGAAAAGCCACCAATGAAAGTATAAATGTCAATGGAATGCCTTCTGATATCAAACATTATTTAAATCAACCCACGTTACCCTCAGGTGATAATATATTTAAGTTTTGGGAAACTTGTGGGCCTATATATCCAAATTAAAAAAAAAATTGTAGATCTATATTTGACAATAGTATCTACATCGGTACCATCTGGACGTATTTTTTTTAAAGTTGGACAGATAACAACTGATAGTCGAACCGATAAACTAGTGATAACCTTAATAAACTTTTGTTTCTTTCATCTCTCTCAGAAAATGATTGGCAATTTGATTATTTGTTTTTTATTGTAAAATTTGTAAATTTTTTTTGTAATTTCTACATTTATTTTGAACTAGATCGGTGAAAATTACGTACCATTAATAAAAGAGTATACGTTAAAAAAATATTAGTGTTCTTTTATTATAACTCGCACATTAAAAGCCGTTAAAGAGCTAATAAGTAATAATTCATCACAAAAACATATCTAAAACAAATAAAAAAATTGAATCATTTCCATCGATTTTTTTTTATTTCAATTTAAATCGATTCACTTTTGAGAATCACCCTTCACTATAGTACGGCCAGCGAAAAGTGAGCCGCGATACCAATGCTCCTGGTGGTCGAATTTAATCAAGACTTCCACAATTAAATGCGATTATTCTTAAATACACCACTTGGAACGTAACGGTCACGGCTCACTTTTCGCTGGCCGTACTATAGTATATTACGGTACTATGGTACACGAGGTGAAAAGTGGGCCGCGATTATACCGCCCCCAGTGGCATTTTTTTGGATAGGGCCATATACTACTATTAGGGTTACTGAAAAAACGCCACTGGGAGCGGTACAAACGCGGCTCACTTAGGGATGGGAAAAATGAATCATTATACTGATTCGCATGACAAAACATTGTCATGCTGATTCGAATCATTTGAATCGATTCAGTAAATTGATTCGGTCAAATGAATCGTTCGTTTGATTCATTTGATTCACCAATACAATAAACTGAGTTGAACTAATTCATTCGGTTATCATTTATCAGTTATCATACATAATGATTAATGATAATCGAATAACAAAAGAATCGATTTTGAATCATTGGTGATGATATATTTTAGGTTTAGAAATAAATTAATTTATACTAGGTATTACATTAATTAACATTATAACATTCTACTGTGATACAGGGTCTGGCCCATTATAGTTACTTATTTCAGACCTACTTAACCAATAAGCATTGAAATAGTTACCGACTATGGAGTATGTTCCATGAATTTTGATTAAATTAAAATATAAAATCAATTCATAATGAATGTTAGACATTTTAACATTTACATTTTAAGGGTCTGTCAAACATTTGTAATTATTGTGAAAAATTAAAACAACATTGTCTGTTAGCTGTTTTGTCAACATCAGTTATCAACGTCGTAAACTACACAGCAATTTAGCAAAATTACATGCAACTAAGTCAAAATTGTGGCTGTAACAACTATATTAATATTAAGTTTAATTTCCTAAATATAAGATAGCTTAAATGACTTACATTTTTTTTATTAAAAAATATTACTCTCTCACATTACAAATATAATATTAACTAAATTATTTGTATTTAAAAAAAAAAACTTGTAATTTCTTCAATGAACAATATTATAAAATTAATTTATTGTAATTATTTCAAAAATAACCTATACTTTGAATTTAATAAGTGGTTATAAGTACTCAAATATTAAAAAAGAAAAAATTGAGTTTGTGGAAAAATTGATTTGTTATATTGTTCCATAATTTATCATAAATGTATGTATAGGAACTCAAAAAGGTACAAGACATTTCCTTTAGTCCTTTACGTCTCAGCACCCTCTTCCCACCAAACACAATAATATTCATAATTATTACAACAAATTAACATGCTCGAACCTGTAATAGTCCAGTTTATGACATGATTATTTTTATCTATACTTTACCAACAATTGTTATAAATTATAAAACAATTATTTGCACAACTTGGCATTGGTTTTTCAGCCTTCCGGGAGAGTCCTAATCATTTTTTTTTATTACAAACTAGAGTACTCCGGCTTTATTTTTTCATTCAACTGAGAATTTGAATAAAAAAACATTTTCATATTTTTCAACAACTTGTGTCGGGGGCTATAATTGTCCGGAAAATAATTCTACGGTATGTAAAAAGTCGGAATGTAAATTTGAGGACCATCAAAGTTCGAAATGGTCGTTGGTGTTATTGTTTTTAATAATTTTAAACTCAAAATTATATTCATCAAGGTAAGATTTAAAAAATTTTTTATATTCTTTGGATTTGTGACTTAAGTTTTAAATATCATATTTTCAAATTTACCATTTACAATCTTTAAATATATTCATGTACATATTTATTAAAAAACAATAAACAATTATTTAAATACATTATATAGGTACATATAATTTAAATTAAGTTAGAAGTGCCATTCAATAATTCTAGTAATTGGTATAAAAATAGTAATAACTAAAAGACTCCATACAATTTAAACATAATATATATTTTGATACTATAAATCATAACTCAAAAATCTTGTTAATTTTTTAAATGTGTACAAATTAAAACAAAATTATATAATATAAAAAAAAATTTTAGACGTCAAATTTAAACCGCAAGAGAAGTGCAGTATGGAATCATTTTAGTAGGTATTGAGTCCCTTACTATTTCTAAATGTTCTTATTGTAAGGAAGATGTTAGTTATAGTGGTGGGTCAACTAGTAACCTTATGCGCCATCTAAAAACTAAACATGTAACTGTGCCACTTAAAAGACCACTGCTGGTAAATGATGACAACATTGATGATCCATTCGACCCCGACGTGCCAGCGTCTACAAGAGCCTCTGTGAGTACAGGTTCGTCGAGAGTACTTTCTGATGCAGCAGGGCCATCAGCATCAAATCTACCTAAACAAAGTGCCATCACACAGTATATAAGTAAACCAATTTCTCTCACAAAATCAAAAGCTATAGACTTACAGATCACTTCATTTATCGTCAAACATTTTCATCCTTTTTCATTGGTAGAAGAAACGGAATTCCGTAATTTGATTAAGATGCTAGCCCCAAATTACATTGTACCTTCTAGGAAAACGATATCAAATAGTTTACTAATACAAATGTACGAAAGTGTTCTTGATAAAGTTAAAACTGATGTTAAAACATGATGTGACTGCCGTATCTTTGACCACAGATGGTTGGACATCCATCAACAACCAACATTATACAGCCTTAACCATCCATTTTTTAAATTCTGAGACTAAATTGTGTTCTAGACTAATTGATTGCATCGACTATAATGAGCAAAGTACGTCAGTTGAACTTGCCAATTTTTTGATGGCTACTGTTAAAGCGTGGAATATTGAACATAAAATATCAGCAGTTGTCACAGATAATGCTTCAAATTTAGTTTGTGCTGTAAAGAAAAATAATTGGACTTTTGGAGACATGTCCCATGCTTTGCTCATGTCCTTAATATCGGCATTCAGCGTGGTCTTACACATTTGAAAACTGTCATGACTAAAATAAAAAAATATAGTTGAGTTTTTCAAGTAAAGTTCTGGGGCTCTGCATAAATTATAGAACCATCAAAAACAAATGGGATTACCAGATCTAAAGCTGATTCAGGAGTGCAAAACTCGTTGGAATTCAGCCTATCACATGATGAAAAGGATACTAAAGTTAAAAGAACCTATGTTATCAACATTAGCCATAACCAACAATGATTTAAATTGCATTACTGAGGAGGAATGGTAAATGTTATCTACTGCGTGTGAGTTTCTTAAAATTTTTGATGAATTAACAACTGAGATGAGTGCTGAAAATGTTGTTACCATCTCAAAACAAAATTATTTTTTTTTTTACTAGAGCATTTACGTAAATTTGTTTTTGACATCAACATGCAACGTGAGATAATTTCAATGGCTCCAGAAATAAAGGTAACATCGGATAAGTACTTCAAAAACATAGAAGATAACGACGTTGAATCACAAGCAATTTTACTCGACCCACGTTTTAAAATCTCTAATCTTCATGTTTGTGTTATTTCCGTAAATCACAACTACAATTTCCATGCATTTTTCCCCTTTGTAATGATTGGTTTTTTTTATTTATGATCGAACTTTGGAAGTATCTTTCCTATGAATAGTCTAGTCATATGTCTGTATAATATCCATATAAGGTATTTTTTTTTTTTTTTTATTAATTTAAGCCGCAACAACTAAGGTTATTGGCATGTTGTACAATGTAAGGATTAACTTATGTGCTAGAGGGAATTATACATATTAAATACAATAATAGTTATTTACATAGGTTAAACGTTAAAGTATGTGAATATAACATATTATAAAATACAAAAATCAGATGAGGTTATATAATTTAGTAATTTTAAGAAACTTTATGATTTTGATATTACTTTCGTGATCGGATCCAAGTGCTTCATATAGATGCTCAGGAATATCTAGGGCTGTTCTTGTGTCTGTGTAGTTTCGACAGTATAGGAGGATATGTTTAACCGTTAGAGCTTCCCCACAGGTTGTACATGGGTCTGGATCTTCACGTCTCATGAGGTGACGATGGGTGAGCCAGGTGTGTCAAATTCTTAGTCTATTAATTATGACTTCGTGGCGTCTCTTGGAAGTGTGTGTTGGCCAAGGGTTGATAGAAGGTTTGATTTCATTTAACTTTGTATGTGATGATGTCCAACGATGTTGCCACTGTTGCACCGTCAGGGACTGTATTGCTCCCTTGATATCTCCCAGAGAACAAATTTGCACTAAGGAAGCTTCAGGGGAGGTTATAGCTCTTTTAGCGTAGGTGTCTGCTGTTTCGTTGCCATGGATTCCGGTATGGCTGGGGATCCATAGCAGCATTACGTCTTGGTTGTTGTGATTTAGAAGAGCAATTAGATTTTGAATCATACTGGATATGGCGTTGGGTTGGTTTATGTTGCAGATGCTGTTTATAGTACTAAGAGAGTCGCTTAATATGATTGCTTTATCTATATTGAGTTGTTGAATTGTTTCAAGTGCGTGGTAGATCGCATATGCTTCTGCTGTGTAGATTGAGCAGAAATCGGGGAATTTGATCATTTTGGATGTGTTGTTGAAGTATACCGATGCCCCTACCCCTATTTCGGTTTTGGATCCGTCAGTGTAAAACTTGGTGTAATCCTGGTAGTCTTCGAGTAAAGAAAGTGTCAGATTTCTAAAAGTATAGTCCATGGTCTCACTTTTAATGTGTTGAGAAAGATCAGTGTTGAAGTGTAGTTCCATTAACCAAGGAGGAGTGGTAGCGTGCTCATGTTTGAATATTCCTGAACAATTGAACTCGAAGTAGTTGAGTTTTATTGTGTTTTCTAAGTTTGAGGTAATGTTGTTTTGTATTCTTCTAGCTTCTTGAAGTGCAAAGTTTTGCGTTCTCCTTAGGTCAAGAGGAAGTGTGTTTGCTATATTGAGAATGCTTGAAATCGGACTAGAACGGAATGCACCTGTGGCAAGTCTTAGACCCGAGTTGTGAATAGTCTCTATCATTTTGAGTGCAGATTGTTTGGCGTCGATGTAGAGGAAGGCACCATATTCCAATTTGGACAGAATGAGAGATTTATATATTTGTTTGAGAGTAGTTCCGTTTGCTCCCCACGTAGTGTGAGCTAGTAATTTGATGATGTTCAATTTTATTAAAGTTGCTTTTCTAATTTCTTTCAAGTGGGCATGCCATGTGTTCTTGTTGTCAAAGGTAATTCCGAGAATCTTAATGGTTTTGGTGTATGGTATTGGAGTGTTGTTTAAATGTACTTCTAAATTGTTGTATTTTCTGAACCTGGTAAAGAGGGAGCAGCGAGATTTTGTGGCAGAGAACGTAAAACCGGTTTTGGAAGACCATTCTAATAATGAGTCAATTGTATCTTGTAGAGCTGGTTGGATAGAATTTGGGTTTTTTCCTCTGCAAAGGATGTTTAGATCGTCTGCGAAAAGTGTAGATTGCACTGGAAATTTAATGTTCTCGCATATATCGTTTATAGCGATAAGGAATAGGGTGACTGATATAGTAGACCCTTAGGGGACACCGTTTTGTTGACTAAAGGAAGGGGATAGATAATTGTGGATTTTCACTTGGAATGATCTATCCGATAAGAAGTCCTTTATGAAATTAAACATTCTGCCATTACATAGGATGTTACGAAGTTTTTCCAGTATGCCGGGTCTCCAGGTAGTATCGTAAGCTTTGGCTATATCTAGTGCAACTAGTCCTAGAACTTGTTTGTTTTTGAATGATTTTTGAATGTTATCCTGGATGTCCTGCAGAGAATTGTATGTGCTTCTGTGTTTTCGAAAGCCATTTTGTTGAGGGATAAGATAATTTATTTTTTCTAGAAACCAACGCAATCTAATATCGATGATTTTTTCGAGCAGTTTGCACATGGTATTTAATAATGAGATAGGTCTGTAACTGTTTAATTTGAATTTGTCGTTGCCGGGTTTGAGAATAGGAACCACTAATGAATGTTTCCAGGTTTTGGGAAGCCTGCCACAGTTCCAGATTTTGTTATAGATGTGAAGAATGTAGATGAGTGCTGAAAGAGGCAAATTGTGTAAGAATATATAAGGGATGTCGTCAGGACCCGGGGAGAGACTGGAGCATTTTCTCAGTGCCCAATTCAGTTCTTTAAGAGAGAACGGAAGGTTTAGGTGTGCCTGGTCTTGTGAAGCAGGATCAATTTCAGAAATATACTGACTGTTTCTGTTTTGGATGTTGTTAGTCAGAAAGGTCTTGTCGTAATTGTCATCGGAGCAGTTTGTTTGGAAAGAAATTCCGAGGTGATTTGCTACATCAATAGGATTCGTGTGTATCGTGTTGTCGATGATTAAGTGGGTGTGTTTTTCTCTTCTTTGTACGCGCAGGGATCTAACTTTGCTCCAGATTATACTGGAGTCAATTCTGGGTGTGATGCTTGAAGTGAAGGATTTCCAAGACTTCTCTTTGCTACTTTTAACCAGATATTTGGTCTTCGCCCTTAGTTGTTTCAGTATGATGTGATCTTCAGTTTTTCCTGAGTTTTGGAAGGTTTTTAGTGCTTTATTTTTATTTTTTATCGTTTCTTTTATCTCAGAGTTCCACCAGGGGACATTGGGTTTTGCTGTTGAGCTTTTGGTTTTGCCTATTGATAGATTGGCAGCATTAATTATTGTTTCAGTTATATGAGTGACATCAGAATCAATTGGGCAGTCCCTTAGAGGAAGGTTTGTAGATAGATTAGTTTCAATTAGTTGTGTGAAGAGACTCCAGTTGGGGTTTTTGACTTTCCATTTGGGAGGGTTTTTACAGGGGGATGTTTTGTGTGTTAGTAGTTCCATTTTTATAGGAATGTGGTCGCTGTCGTATATCTCGGCCAAGGTTGTCCATGAGATTCGCTGAGCTAGTGATGGACTTGAAAGAGATAGATCAATAGTTGAAAAATGGCCGTTAGCCGGGTTGAGTCTAGTGTGTTCTCCATTGTTGAGGAGGACTATATTCTCATTCTCTAGGATTTTATTGATTTCTTTACCTCTGGGGTCGGTTCTCTCAGATCCCCAGTTTTCACTATGACTATTGAAGTCTCCGACGAGTATGTAAGGGTGAGGAAGTTGATGAATTAAAGGTATCTATGACTATAGGTTTCATATACCTACCTATATAATATTATTATACAGTGCCAAGCACTCATCACCAAAAAAAAATATGATACGAGTGAAAAATAATTGTGGTATTATATTTTAGGTCCATTGTCAATTACAGCGTACCCTAACGTGTTAAACAGCTGACCGCTTTTTGACAAAATATATTTTATGCACATGTACTTACCTATAAGGCTATAAATAATATTTTTAGAACCCAGAAGGTAATACATTTAAATGTCTACATCTACGGCCCATGTCATAAGTTTTAATTATACATTTTACATACGATATCGTATATATATGTTACGGTGAAAGATGTAAACGTGGTAAAAGACGTCATTCCCCGGTAAATGACATCATTTACCTAAAAATTGGTAAATGTTGTAAATACAGACATTCCCCGGTTATTGTCGTCAATCACCAGTTTAGTTGGAGAATGATGTTCAATACTTTTATGTCGGTGTGAACGAACAGCGATAAGCGTGTAGGTGCCAAATAAGCTTCGTTAGTTAAAAATATCATGACGGAAGTAGATAGATAAACGAAAATCCCAACAAGCAATAACGTCGATAACCCGAGTAATAATATGAGATAATCTATTAGTTTATTAGT